GTTTTTATTAATAAAGGAAATGGAATGTAAAATTTAGAATCAATTGAAAATAAAATTATTTTCCTATTCTCTCTCTCATTAAGTCTCATATCTAAGGTGTATTCTCCCATTAAATCCTATTTTTAAGATATATTTATCTCATTATTAAATTCTACTAATTAAATCCACAATATTAATTATAATATTATAAAAATAAACATTTCAAGAAATAATTTGAAAACAAAACCATTTTCTTCCCTTCTAGTTATAGATAAGCAATTCAACCATTTGGGGTCAAATGGGTTAATGAATAATTCCATAATCAAATAATAAAAATTAAAATTAATAAAATATACAATACAAAAAAAGAATTGGGCATATCTCTAATGTCGTATATTCATTATATAAAACAAAAATAAATATGGAATGTAAGAAGTAGTATTTTTATTAATGATGAAAATGGAATTCTAAATTTAAAATCAACCTAGAAATGAAATGATGTCATTGTCAAACAATAAAATTTGTAAAAAATAGAAAATACAAAGAGCTACAAAAAGTAAAAAATAAAGAAAATTTTGGGCACATATCTACTATTATATTTATAAAAGTAAAAATATTTGGTACATCCCTAATATTATTCATTCATTTTATTGAACAAAAATAAGTATTATACATAAGAAATAATTTTATCATTGATGAAAGTGTAATACAAAATTTAATGTCACCCTACAAATCAAACTATTTTTTATTTTTTGGTGGTATAGGGGTAGTGTGTTGTGGGTAAGGTTCCGAAGTCAACTATGATATATCTAAAATTCAAATAATTAATATGAAAAAAATTTCTCATGTGCAATGCATGTTTTTAATTACTAGTTTATGAAAACAAAGGAATAGGGGGGTTGGGATTTCATGATATGTTTATCAGAAACAAGAGTCCTATTATGAATGAAGCTCTCTTGGCATTTCTTAATTGAACTAGGGCTGTTCATAACAGGACCCAAACCGACCAACTCGGTCCAATCCAACCCGAGTTGGCCAGTTTTTCTTCATCACCGGTCAGTTTCGGGTTACAAAAAAATATAAACCGATGGTTCGGTTCGGTTTCGATTTTCATGTGTGAAAACCGAAACCAAACTGACCCGAACCGACTTAGATATAATTTTATATATATATATATATATTTATATATTTCCGCTTTATTTCAGAAAATACATATTATATATAAAATTTCTGATATATAAAATATCAGTTTTAATCCATCAAATCATTTTTTATTTCTAGGCATCCAGCCTTTGCTTTCTTATACTTGAATCCTTTACCATTCACATCGAGAGAATCATTCACAAAACCGACTCAAACTGACCCAAACAGATTCAAACCGACCAAGTCGGTTTTACTTAGTACTAGGTTGGTTTTGGTTTCATTTCTAGGTAAACCGACCAGGTCGTGTCGGTTGGAAAAATGCTAATAAACCAACCCAACCCGACCCGTGAACAGACCTAAATTGAACATGGTCGACTATGGATTGACATTTTAAGGCTAAAATATCTAAACAATAGCTTGACATCTTGGAATGTAATAAAAGGTCCCTGCTATTTAATTTCAAATGGCTAGTGTACGAGTATATTTGGAGACCCTTGGGCTTTTCAAGTTGGCGAGAGATCTCCACCTCTCTCACATCTACATTGAAGGGGATGTACAAATTTCTTGTTGGCATAGACAATTCTCTTGATGTCCCTTGGGGGCTACATTTAGCCATTGCTGACTGTAGGAACCTTTGTATGAGTTTCATGAGGTTTTATCTCCTTTTATACCACGTACATGAAATAGGGTTGCCCATAAAATTGCAAAAGTTGCTTGTAAATGCACTCCGAACCACTACTTGGTATTCTCTTCCTGACTTTCTGTATTGGTTGATGATCTATTGCAATGTGATTTATTTTAGTCAAGGGGAATTGGGATCTGCTCCTCACCGTCTCACAGTCACATCCTACCCTCATCTCCCTATGAATAATAAATATCAATATGGGAGATGTTTCCAATGTGCGGCTAGGACATGCTGTGAGGTGCACAATGAACTCATTAAAAATGATAAAAATTAAAGAAAATTTAAAATGCAAAACCCATTTTTTAACAGTATTTTATTGCAAAAATTACTGAATAATAATGGCTTGAGACCTTTATTGTACATAATGAACTCATTAAAAATGATAAAAATTATTGAAAATTTAAAATGCATAACTTATTTTATTAACATTATTTTATTGCAAAAATGACTCAGATGCAAAAATTACTGAATAATAATGAAAAATATCAATAAATAATTAAAATAATTAAAAATATTGAAAATTAACAATATTTTATATTAATAAGGGTATTTACTAAAAATAATTAAAAAGTACAATTAATAGTATTTTATTATTAAAAACATACCAAAAATTATTAAAAAAATACCCAAGCCAGAAATTATTGAAAAATATTAAAAATTAGTTGTATTTTTTTATTAACTATGGTATTTATTTAGTTATTTAATTTATTTTTACTAAAAGCAAATGCAAATTAATTTTGTAGTGACTAATATGCATTGCTGAAAATACTAAAATTTATAGAAAAATACTCATATGCAAAAATTACTAAATAATAATGAAAAGACATAAAAAATTAATCAAAATCCAAAAGTTCTAAAAACCCTAAATCTTAATTAAAATATTAAAAATAATTAAAAATTAAATTAGTTATATTTTAGTGCAAAAAATACTGAATAATAATGAAAAAATAATGTATTTTAATTATTAATAGTAATATAATTAACATAATTATTTTTAAACTGTAATTAATAGTAATTATAATTTAAGCTATAAATAGTATAAAATTATATTTAATTACCAAAAAATTACATTTAATTAGTTTTAGCCAAGAAATTAACAATATTTCTAAAAATATGATAATTTCCATAAATTATTGTACTTTAAATAAATACAGTAATTTAATAATTATAATATTTTAATAATTATAATAAAAAGTAACAAATCGTTTATAACTTAACATAATCTGATTAGATCCATAAATTTGCAGGCTCAAGCAACTATTTTCATTTGAGTTAGGTCTAATTGAGATATGCACCATGCCCATACATTATCAGGGATAATCTGATTAGAAGTTATATGCATATATGATAAATATTATTATATAATATTTAAATAACAAATTTTATATTAATATATATAGAAATGTTAACACAGGCCTCTTTATCAACATAAAATGTGCAAGCCCGATCCCAAGCCTTTATATAAAGCTCGAAGCTTGAGCCCAAGCCCGAAGCCCGATTTGTACATAAAATGTCTTATTTTCAGTATACTTTTATAAACTAATATTATATTAATTTAGTAATAATTTAAAGAATTAATAAGCTAATTTATATTTTCTAATAGTAAATTGATATTTATTAATAATTTAAGAAGTATATATATAGTGTGTGTGTGTGTGTGTGTGTATGCATGTATGTTTGCATAAGCAAACAATTGTATATATCAAAAATCATATGAAATAAAAATTTAAACATCTTTTTCAATTTTTTTTTTTTAAATGGACCTCTCATAGCTTGGCTTGGTCTGTGGTCTGGCCTGGCCCAAGGCCATGGACCAGCCCAACCCATGGCACAACACTGGCCTGTGTGGACTCAGGCTGTGGGTTGTATCGAACCGAGCCCCCAAATTATCACAGGTGAGGAAGGCATGGCTCGGGACACCTTGTGGGCTAGTATTTTGTGCGGGCCTCATGCAGGTCATGTTGTGCCGCCCCAACACGACACAATTTACACCTCTACTTGAACCCACTTAGTACTGGGGACAGGGTGGGGAAATTTAAGGATTCTCCATCCTTGATGAGGAGTGGAGTGCCTTGCTCTTAAACTCGCCCAACATTGAGGAGTGGTTGCCTTGTAGACCTGTTCATGGGCCGGGTGGCCCGACGGGCCGGCCCGGCCCGACCCCCGGATGGGCTTGGACATTTTTAT